CTAGTGAGGAGATCTTTAAGAATAATGAAATAACAGAGTTTCCTGTTGCTGAGAGAATCATTCACTTTACCTCCTTAGCCAGGTTTTGGGGTGAATGAAAGTGGCCTGTCACACTAGTGCTTTTAACCCTCTCAGTGTAGGAGGGAGAGATGGAGTTTAGGAGTGGTAAGTACCAAAGTTTGAGAAGCGTTTGGCCCACTTTGATACTATCAGAAGCTTTTCAGAGATATTTCCACTCTTAATACCATGACACAGACGTGCTACAAAAAAGGGAAAGTGAATACAACACATGCACTTTCTCAGTTCCTCCTTCTACCTCAGATTTAAAAGATTGAGATTTTCAAACCAAAGGTGGTGGACAAGTGTTGTGCTAAGAGAAGCCGGGTGTCCCATGCAACCAAATCCACCAGCCCCTCTTTCCAAAGGATTCCCTTCCCTAGAGTTCTTTCAGGGAAGGCCTGCAATGACCTTGGCATTGGCTGGACAAGCAGCAGTGTTTTGGGGGGTGTCAGCCATTCTCCACATAGCTGCAAGGCCTGAGAAGACAGTCAAAGCCATAGAAACTGAGCACCCCCATAAACCTTCTTTTTCAGGAAGTCTCTGTTGCTCACTCTTCATTCCTTTTTGGTTTTCCTCGCCTCACCATACTCCCATCTCATTTTCTTTTTTCTGGGAGACAAATCAAAAGCAAAAACTATCAAGCGTCCTCCATGGTCATCAAAGTGCAACCAGCCATAAGCACCCTTAAACGTGGGGCAATGGAAAGAGATTTGAACCCCTAAGTGATGGGCCTGGGAGGCCCCAGACATCTTCACTTCTCTGGGGACTTACCTGGGTCTGACGCTGCTTCTTCGCCCCTGGTGCTGCTGAAGCTTTTGTGGGCTCTTCTGTGTAATACTTGTCAATTTTTCCTCTTTCTCTTTTAAGCTTGTGAAAAACTTTTGGATGCAACCTAGTTTTGGTGGCAGAAGGAGATGGTTTCTGTTGGGAAGGGAAACTAATAAAGGGAGGAGGGGTGGCGATGTCGGGAGACACTTGCCCAGGGCTCAGCACTGGGCCTCTTTTTGCCAGGGGACAACGGCTGGTTCTGGGCTCTCAGGCTGAAAGGAGTGCTCTCTGGGTGCCAGGATTTCACTGGGGGTGGTGTGGTGAGGAGGGAGGGATGAAGGGAGGGAGGGAGAGAAGGAGAGATGGGCGCTGGATTTTTAAAGAGACCCCGAAATAATGGCTTCTGTGAGTGTCCAGGCATTCAAAGAGGTGTGTTCAAGGACATTAGCGCATTCCTGCCAAGGGGGATGTCTTTTATGGTAAATTAACTCCAGTTAAATTGAATATTTGTTCAAAGGGAAACTCCAGTAGTTAAAGCTGGTATGATCAGTAGAGCTTCCCCGCCTCCTCCCCTCAGAATCTGGTGAGGGTGAGAAAAGGGATGCAGTGTAATGTGCAATACAAAGTGATGCTTTCGTGCTGGTGGTTTGTGTGTGTGTAAGATGAGGTTGCCTAAAATTTCTGAGATAAATGAGTATTTGCTGGATTAACCTGACTGTCACCTCATTTCTTTCATCCATAAAGACTGCCAACTTTATCCCAGCTTCTCAAAAAGAAGAAATGACCCGCACAAAGGAAACTAACGTTGTCAGAACGCTGACTCCAGGATTTGCCGGGGCAGGGGCAGGGGCGGGGACCGCAGGGAGGCCGCTCCCAGAGCGTGTGGCCGAAAGGGTTAACTCGCAGGGGTCCGCGCGATTTTCTCGACTTTACCTGTTTCCCCAGCCCCAGCAGCACCCCCTCCCCGGCCTCCCGAACTCCCCACCCCCCAGCGCCTTTCTTCTTTGGGCTCTGGGTTTTCGGGGGCTGCAGCTGGTAAACTTGGCAAGCTCGCCTCATTAAGAGCGCTCTTTGAAAACGGACTGTGTTTGAGCATTTCCCTAATGAGGACAGGACGGGGTTAAAAAGTGACCATTTCATGGTTGACTTGAACCTGCCTACTTTTCTTGATGTGTCGTTGTGAAATGCTTGATGTGGATAACTCCCGCTTGGTGAAGGAAAAAGTCACTGGTTCCTCCAGGTCCGCTGGGGGAAGGAAGAGGGGACGGTGGGCAGAAACCAGAGGGAGTGTGAGGGGCTAAAGTTGAGGGGACAAATCAAGAGCTGGGAAGCGGTGGAAAAAGGACAGGGCAATCGGGGACGAGCCTCAAAACGCCCCAACAGTACCCGTGGAAGCGGGGCGGCCCCGCCCTGGGGATGGACCCGCGAGGACCCGGTAGCCCCAGCGCCCACGCAGCCCCCAGCTAGGTAGACTCGGAGCCCCAGGCGCTCACTTTTCCTCCCTCCATTGTCTGGGCGGCCTTTGCTTCCACCTCTTCCCCATCCACCCCAAGCAGAAAACCGGATTTGGGGGGGCGGTGTGTGTATGTGTGTGTGTGTGTGGGGGGGTTGCAGAAAGAGTGCAAGGCGAACCGCCTCCTTCAAAATCCCCGGAATCAAGTTCATTCACTCGGAGCCTGCACTGGCGGCGGGGTGGGGGCGGGGCAGCGCCGCGGTGGGGAGCCGGCGCGGGCGCCGAGCGGCTCCGGGCCGGCCGCCTCTGGAGGGCTACTCAGCGGCACACGCACTCTGCGCGCGCGCGCGCGCTCCGCCGCCCGCCGCCCGCCCCGCAGCTCCGGGCGCGCCGCGGCCCGCCCCGCTTGCACCCGGGCGGGTAGGGAGACGCTTTCCGCGCGCCCCGGCCCCGGGGGGTGGGGGATTGGGAGCCAGCAGCGGGACTGCAGGAGGAGGAGGAGGAAGCGGAAGCCAGGCGCCTGGGAGAGGAGGAGGGAGCAGGAGGCGGCGGCGGCGGCTCGGCCGGGTCTCTCCCGCTTCAGGGTGAGGCCACGTGCACGGGGCACCCCCGAAGAGGGCGGCAAACCGCGGCGAAGCGCCGCACGCCGCGACTGCCTCGGGCGCGGGCCCGTGGTGGGGAGACCCGGGACGACCCCGCACCCCCTCCCTACCCGCGAACCCGGACTCCGGGCGGGGCCGTCGGGGGCTGGGCGCCGCGCCCCCCAGGTCCGCGCCGGCGCGCCCCAACTACTTGGGCCCAAGTTCGCTCAGGCCCCCGCCTGCTTCGCTTCCCCTTCTTCCCTGCAGCCGCAGGCTCTGCGGACTGAGCCCGCCCCGGGTGCGAGTGTCGGCGCCCCAGCCCCGGCCCTGGGGGGGCCTGGGTGTGAGGGAATTTTCCACTCGTTCCTTTCTAGGGCTCAGACCGGTTCAGTGCTTCTCCCACTCGGATGTTCCCGCGGCTTAAAGAGTCCGCAGCGAGCACCGAAATACCTCTTCCAGGGCGGGTTTTCGGGGGTGTGTATGTGTGTGCCGGTGTGGGGAGGGCAGCGGAAAGAAGAGCTATTTTGGAAAAAAAAAGTCATGTTTCTGTGGCACCGGTAGGATACCTTTAACAAATGAGGGAGAGGTGGGGGGGAGAGAAGGAGAAGGAGGAGGAGGAGGAGGAAGGTGGGGGGCGGGGGGTGTGGAGAGGCTGGTGCAAAAGGAATGCGCGTTTGCAGGAGGAGGAGTAAAGCGATGATTGTGTAATTAAATAATAAAACAATCCTTAAGTCTGATTTGGAGAGAGCTCGAGCGGGGTCCAGAGGGTGGAACCGGTGAATTTTTCAACTTCCAAGTTTTGCAACGAAAGAAAGCAAGAGAGGGAGGGAAAAAAAAGAGCTCAGAGCAGAAAAGAGAGGAGTTTGGAGCCAAGCGGGAGAGCGGGATTTATCGTTTGGAATTTTTCAGGAGATCGTTTTGATACCCCTGGGCTCTGGGCAGCGGCGGCAACAGCAGCCTCCACGCTCGGCCGGGTCAGACGCGGGGCGAGGTGGGCGGGCGGGCGGCCGGGCGCCGAAGACCCGGTGCGGGCGGCAGCGGCGGCGGCTGCAGCGGGGGACCACGCGCCGCGAGCCTCCTCCGCCCCGGAGATCAGCGCTCGCGCCCCCTCCCTCACCCCGGCCTCTCCCTTCTCCCCCACCCCACCCCCACCCCGGCCCTCTCCCGCGCGCGCTCCGCCACCCGCGCGCACTCGCTCACGCTGCCCCTCGCGCACACACATGGTCGGCTCGCGGCAAAGTTTCGCCTGCGATCACCACTCCGGGATCCTGCCGCAGTGCTTGGGGCTGTAACCTTGAACTTTCCCAGCGCGGTGACACATTCTCCCCGCGCTCCCGCCCGCCCGCCCGCCCTCCTGCGCCCCCCTCCCCGCCTTTTTTGAAAAAGCATTTTACCACCAACCACCACCCCAATCCAACCCACACCGAACCTTCGCGCACCCCCTACCCCCCAACAACAACAACTGCAAAATAGAAAACAAATCCCCAAACCCAGGCGAAAAGCAGCCAACACCGGCGGCGGCGGCGGCCTCGGCAAGCACGGCCAGCGCGCTAGGACTGCAAGAGGGTTAAAAGTGTAGATTGGATTTCACCCCTGGAAATCTAGCACGCCGAGTGAACTTGAATCTTTGGCTATTTAAGGAGGACTGGGTTTGTTGTGAAGTTGCGGTGATCCAGCGCAGAGCCCCGTCCTGATTGATCGCATCGCGGGGCTCAGATGACTGTAAAATGAATAGATGAAATTCTTGCTTCTTGAAGATTTTCTTGGGCATCTCCGGGAAAGTGCGTTTTAAGGCGAAGTCATGATGTATTCTCCCATCTGTCTCACTCAGGTACATGTCTCGGTCGCTTTCTCGAGCTTTCTCTCTGGCCCGAAATGCCTTTGTTTTGTTTTGTTGCGGACAATTAACGGCTTGAGTTAACCTCCGCACATGCCCGTCCCTGGAAGAAGTGGCCTGGAGTTACAGCAGGCGTCGCGGGGCGGCGTGGGAGCCGGAGAGCGGCCCCTCGCCCACGGCCACTGCGAGCGCCCAGCCCCGCGCCTTGGGCATGGAGCGCGGACGCTGGGCCGGGCAAGGCCTCCGGGGGTGGGCAGGGCCGGGATCTGTAAGTGCGAGGCCCAGTGCGGCCCCCCAAGTGCCCGTTGTGGTGCGGCATCCCCGCCTGGGGTGCCCGCAGCCCCTCTCGGCAGCTCGCGCACTTAGGTGGACTCGGGCTTTGGAGGACTTTACGGGGACTAAGCTTTTAAAAACAGCCAGTGAACTTGGGCTAGGGGACTGTAGCTCGAGTCTGTGTGGGCGCCGCTGGACACTGCTGCAGGCGGTGGGCGGGCGACGAAGCGAGTCGGAGGTTGTGGTCCGGGGACCCTTTCCTTTGCTTTATTTGGGGATCTGAAACCCTGGTCCATAGTGACCCGCTGCACTTTGGGGTTTCCAGTGACCGCACCACAAAGGCAATATTTACGTTGACACGAGTTAGTTGGTCTTGGTGATTGTTAAGGAGTTTTAGAACGTGTTCATTTTGTGGAAACCTGTTCATTTGACGATATTTGGGCGTAGCTCGTAAGGCATTTTAAGTAATGCTGGTAAAAGTAAGGTCATTTTTTTCTACTTTGAGAATTGTCCTAAGACCTTAGGAATAATGTTATGAAATAAAACACTGGTTTTATACTTTTTAAAAACACGATTTGTATCACTTTAAGCCAGACGGTCAAATAGAAAAGTGGCGAGACCGAACAGACTTACCTGGGGGCAGTTTTCATCGCTGCCCAGGAAACTAACAACTGACAAAGTAGCTAAAATATCTTAGCCCAGAACTGTTATTTGAGGCAGTATTTTAAACCTCTAAAGGTATGTGGCAGCTTATTTCAGCTTTTAGGAAGATGTGTCACCGTTGGTAATTGATAACCATTTTCTTTGACATTGCCATGAAAACTAATAATTTAAACAAGTGTCAGCCAGTCTTGGGCGTGTTAAAATTTTAAAAATACCTAATATCACGATGATGCATTTTTTAATGGACAAATAATTAAGATTTCAATTGTATGACAATTAGAAGCCATTGTGATTCAAAAGGACTGAGGCATTCATAAATTGTGAATGAAGATGAAAACAATGATAAGGCTTATTCAGTGATTGGATACAGTCCTGTAGCTTTTTGGCTGACACATTTTTTATTGTTTATATTTTGTTTGGCATCTGAGTATGATTAACTTAGATATGGCTATTTTCAGCAAGTAAACATGCACTTTAATTTAACAAAACTGGAAAAATGAGTTGCTGAGCTATTTGTATTTTAAAAACCATGAATGATAATAGCCAATAAATATGATGAAACTGTTTCAGGTATAACGAATTGCCTCTAGTTGTAAAAGTTACCATTAATATTACCCATCAACCGGATATATTTTTCTCTCTTTCTGATAAGCTGTGTTAACTTGATATAATTTTTACACCGTGATCAAGTAAAACAAATCAAAGCAAGATTTTCACTTACAGAGTATAGCATCACTTATTCTCACCTGTAAAAGACTGAGTAATTGTGCATTTCTCTATATTTCTAGCATCAGCTTTTCAGAAACATTGCTAGCAATTACATTGCATTTTTAGTCTCCTCCAAATATGTATTGAAAAGTCACTAGTTTTATCTTAATTTGTGTATGTTAAAAATAATATTGCAGCATTGAGACATATGGAATGTTGGGATCATATACAGCATAATCATTCAGCTATCACATTAGTATTCAAAGATACATACTTAACAACAATAACTTGTGATGACTAATATCCTCTACTATTTTAATAATATAAATCTAGGCTTATGTATACAAGGCCTATATCAGGGAAGGTATTTTAGCTTAAGAATTCTCACTTCACTAAGCTCCATGTGACTTTGCAGGTAATGTAGGTGTTATAAAAGTGAGGCCACATTAATAGTGTTACTTTTGTATCAGATCAATGGTTTTGTATCACAAGAGCCTAGTAGCTGTATGTAGCACAGCATGTCTCAGGACATGTAAATTGCAAAATAGAGTATCATTCTTAATTGGTTATAAACTTTTAAAAGTATCTCAGTTGTTGGAATAATGTATCTAGGGTTTAGAAAAAAAAGGACCTACCATTAAATGATATGTTTAGCAAAATGATATGATACAGAATCAGCACATCAATAACCAATATTTATACACCAGTATAAATCAGATATAAAAGAAAAATTAAGAACTATCATATGATTTAATATTTGTTTAAAAATAATGTAAACCATTAATATAACTTTCAATTGGCATGATGGCGTTAAATATATTTTTCTTTCATTGCTTTTAAGTTCTTTAGGTACATTTTTTTGCATGATTTATTGTTATATAGCAATGCGCCAAGAACACCTAGTATTTACTCTTCTACCTCTATGTTGGTCTAATTATCCATTCCTTTCATGGAAACGGAAGAAAAATAAATATGCCTGGTGGAATTAAGACTCTTTACTTTTATATCTGAAATTTGTAACTGTGTTGTTTACTTTGTCAATTTAGTTCAACTAAAGGAAGTTTTAAAAGAGAATTACTGAACATCAATGTATTTTACTAAAAATTCTGAAAAAGCAAAGTTGCATATTACTTTTGTATACAGTTGTTTGATTTTAAATCACTTATATGTTTTGCTTTTTAAAAAAATTTTATAATTGCTTAATATTATTGTAATAATCCACTGCTAGTTAGGATATTTGAAAACCTTAATCACCTTTTTAAAAAACATTTTTGTATCAGGACAGTTACTATGTTCCATATTCATGTCACTCATAATCTTTAAGACTCTAGTGCTACTCAGCATTAGGAAACAGTCACACTTGGGAGATGACATTTAGGCATGTTAATACAGAAATGTATGTGACTTATAGCAAACCTCAATTTACAGTCATTTTTGGAGGATATGTCCCCTTGTCAAATAAGTGCTTCACTTGAATTCACATAATAGTGAAACCCTGAACAATATCATAAGGCAAATTGGTAGCCTGAGAAAGTTTGCTACTTTTATTTCTCAAAAAAAGCATGTTTTAAAACAATATTTGGCAGCATTGACAGCAGACTCAAAGGAACGTTTAAAAATTGTGTGCATTTGCTAAGAATTTTCAAATTCAACCTTCAAATTTGGATTTTGGTTGTTTAAAATAAGTCATTAAAATTTTGAGCTTTCTTGCATGATTATGTTTATAATCAAATATTGAAACAAACAAATTTGATCAAAACTGTGATGTCTTTATAAGAAAATGAAATGTCACTGAACATAGTACTTAAGGACATAAGTACTTACGTGTTACCACATGGCTTAATATTTGTAAAATAATATTGCATTTTTAAAAGCATGGCAAGGGCAGAATGAGTGAGGCAAAGCCCACCCACTCCACCTCATGTGCTCTTTACATTCTCAAGGTTTTAGTTTATGGGTGCATATATGTGTGTTTTTTAGTCATATCAATAAATCATAGTAAAAGATTATAGGAAGTGAGTTTCCAAAGCACATTTAAGCCCGCATTTCCTTGAGCAGGCTTTCTTTTTGCATATATTCCTAAAGGGGATAAACAAAGTTTTTGTAGTTACAGTGAAAGCTAAAAGTATGGCATCAGAAAGTGTATGGAGATAGGGAGGTCTTATCATGGGATGTGGTTGCTGTGAGCAGGGCTGCCTTCCCACACAAAGAACAGATTGTGGTTTAACTCTTTCCATGGCCTAGTTTAATGTGCTCGCATAGTAACTGAATTGTTCAAATCTCTGCTGGAAACTACTGATCGGTTTAATGATTTCCTCTATGGCATTTGGTTATGCCTCATGCTGTGATGTAATCATCAGCATTCTGTATTGTTATAAAATTTTGATTCATACTTATTCTGGTGAAGGAACACTTACAGCAATGTTAGAACACTTTTGATAACTACATTATTGATTGGATGGGACATGTACTCCTTCCATATCTGAAGTACAAACAGCTAACATGTTGCAGTCTGTAGCATTAAAACTTTGAATTTCTTCTTAAAAATATATTCATATCTATATTGGATTTTTTTTGACACCTTCTTTGTTAAAGAGTCATTAGTTGTACTTTCATCATATTTACCTAATGGAATTAGTTAGTCTTCTGTTAAACATAATTTATTCCACGTAGTTCAGGGTGATTAACCTGAGTATGTAAATTCTAACTTGGGATACAATCAGAGAGAGTTATTTTGTAGTTGGGCTGACAATATAGTCAATATGATCAGAAAAGTGGTGGTGGAAGTTCTCATTTGCTTGAAATCTTGGCTTATTGCATACATACGGTGTGCATGCACTGGACGTTAAGCTCTTTCTCTTTGAACAGTAATAGGCGTAAGCTTATAAGACAGGTTTTACCTAAAACAGGAAGTAATGAAACTGACTGCATTGGGAAGTGACTTGAAATATCTGTAGGTAAAGATTATCCACCATTCCTCACTGATCCCGTCCCTTAAAAAAAGGCTTGGATGAAACAGGCAGGAAAAATGCAGGAGCCTAAAGGTAAACTACTTAATTCAAAAGATTGGTACTCAATAATATATGTACCTGCGAATTCACATGCACGTGCATATATGCACCCACAGTTCTAGCTGATAATTCATCTACATGGCAAATGAATTGTATAGATTCCACAAAAGCAGTAACTGACCAGCAGTGCACTCCTGGTGTCACCCCACCACAGCATGCAGGGACACAAAGAATGTAAAGTTGGTGCCAAGTTGCCATTTTTCATTGTTCACCTCAGATTGATTTTTAAGAGGTTTAGAATAATTGCTATACTCATGTGATCGGTGAACAAATTAACGGACTCTGTGGGGCTGCATATTCTATAGGAAAGCTAGGGAAGCTGCTGGAAGAACATTCATGTAATTTTTGTTTTCAAGTTTGAAAACTTCTATTTAAAAATGCAAGAGTGTATGTGAGAAAGCACAAGAGTGCAAGTGTGTGTGTGTTGGGAGCTGGCGTTGGTAGTGTGGGGAGAGAATGCACTGCTCAAAGTATGGAAACCTTCTGTTCAGGACACAGATACGACGAGCTATGTCCTTTGCCCACTTTCCCTCACTGTATACTGGTTTCTCTAGTTACCACTCTTGGAATGGTGCTGTTTCAGTGTTGGAATGTTGGACGTTTGATAAGAAAATGGATCAAGTTTAATGGCGCATGCTCTTTGTGCCACCAGCAGCCTCTTGCTGAGAGCATGCTCCAAAAGCGGGAACTGTGTGGCATTACACTGAGCATCTATATGCTTTGTGTTTCTGTGCCACAGAGAAGAGAAATGAACTGTGGCATCGCTCCTGCCTTCTGAACAGCTCTGCTCCGATTAAAAAAAAAAAAAAAAACTCACTGTGTTCTTTGTAAAATGGTACTGCATAGTGTTAGTTGGTCAATCAAATATTGAAATATTATATTAGGTGCCAAGCACCTAAGTTAGTTGCATATATTTTAAAGAATGTAGAATGCATGGCATTGGGTTGGAAACAAGGGGGATGGGGCCAGAGTGTAATACAAATATAAACCTTATTTTCTTTATAGGAGGGAGAATTGACCTGTGAATTTTGGTGGAAAGGGGATAGCTGGGCATACTTTACTTTCTTCTTGTCCTGCTATTTTGATAATTTTAAATAAGAAAAGAATGTTATTTTCATGTATAACTTTTTGTACTGAATTGGAAACGGATTGTGGTCTTATTTTCTTATTTTTTGAGCTTTTAAAATTAAACTGACTATGCACATCTTTTCCTCACCCCTCTGTCTTTCGCAGGATGAATTTCACCCATTCATCGAGGCACTTCTTCCACATGTCCGTGCAATTGCCTATACTTGGTTCAACCTGCAGGCTCGAAAACGCAAGTACTTTAAAAAGCATGAGAAGCGAATGTCAAAGGATGAAGAAAGAGCAGTCAAAGATGAGCTTCTCAGTGAAAAGCCTGAAATCAAACAGAAGTGGGCATCCAGGCTCCTGGCCAAACTGCGCAAAGATATTCGCCAGGAGTATCGAGAGGACTTTGTGCTCACCGTGACTGGCAAGAAGCACCCGTGCTGTGTCTTATCCAATCCCGACCAGAAGGGTAAGATTAGGAGAATCGACTGCTTGCGACAGGCAGACAAAGTCTGGCGTCTGGATCTAGTCATGGTGATCCTGTTCAAAGGCATCCCCTTGGAAAGTACCGATGGAGAGCGGCTCATGAAATCCCCACATTGCACAAACCCAGCACTTTGTGTCCAGCCACATCATATCACAGTATCAGTTAAGGAGCTTGATTTGTTTTTGGCATACTACGTGCAGGAGCAAGGTAGGAGCAGATTGTTCTTTTTTCTAGCACGGCAAACACTGCACACAAACCTCTGTAGACAGAGTATCTGGCTTGAGTTAGATGGTTCTCAAGGCCCCTAGATATCCTCCACCCTCTCTAGGTACAGTAGGGTGTCCGCTTTCACTCACATGTCCACTGCCATGTGCGAGCCATGTAAATAGACACGGGGCTTTTATACCTGGATAGGCTTGGATACTTAAGAAAGACCACAAAGAGGTGTGTTTTCAAGTATCTAATAATACTGTTTTTCAAAGACATAGGGTAGTCTAACAAATGTAGTTCATTACACTATACTTTCTGTGGTAGGCTACATTTTTGCATCTAGTCTAGTAATCTTTTCCTGATTTGAAAATGTAACTTTATGAATAGTCAAACCATTCTAAGTAACTTTTGTATTAATCTTTTTAATTAATGAGATAGAGGAACTTTGTTTATGAATTTAGTGGTATTGCACTGAAAATAGAACTAATGTTTACTATTACAAAATGCTTAAGATAGATAGTATCAAAAATATATCTTACGTAGACCTAGATTTACTTAATTTTAATATTTCTATCATCACTTTTGATTGTGCAGTATTCACTGTCGATTAAATAGAATTGAGTTATTATTTAAATTATTTATAATATGTTCCCAGAGTTACTTGGGAACACTTAATAATGTTAGTTTACTTGTATGTAAATTCATAAAACTTACCGAGGAGGAAAGTCGCAGTGCTACTTACAGAACAAAAATAGAAAGTGGACTGGTTACACTGGTTTAAAATAAATTTCAAAAAGAATACAGAAACTGCATACCATACCTATTATTTAAAATACCTGATAAGGAGAGTGGTATAAATGTTGCCTAAATAATTAAAAAAGATGATGTTATTACTGAATACTTCAGTTAATGAAATGTTTATTTTTATTTTTCTTAATATATTTTCCTTAAGTAGGTAAGAATTTCTTTTCTTCAAATAAATGCATCAAGATATAGATGTCCTTGCATTAGCAACAATCCATAGTAAAACAATCATTTTACAAAGCAGCATACCAAAAGTAGACTGAAGTTTGAGCTGTCACAGATGGTAGGTCATTTCCAAACTTGGCCTGATGGGAAGAGAAATGGCCTGCAGATAGCCAGGTGACAGACTGTTATCTGATGTTCATTATATAAATGTGAGACTTAATACATTGCTATGAGCTTTATTATTCAAAAAAAATCAAAATTACTTTTTTGACTCTGAATTCTAGGTACTCACTATGTGCTTTTTGGCTTGATTTTCTTGTAGCTTTGGAGATATGCTTAAGTGTCATTTTAGAATTTTTAGTCTGATTTTAAATAATGGTGTTGGACATTGCACATTTAGAAATATTACCTGTTCCTGAAAAAATGAAACATTGTGTTTAATATTTCCATGCATTTAAGAATTACAGTCCAAATAATGAAGATTAGGGGAAAATAATATTTTTGTCCCATGTATCCTAAAATAAAACTCAGTAACACATGACAATTATTTGATTGACAGATGTCCAGGAGGTGACACTTTAAGGTGGGCTGTATATATGTGTTAGATTGACTATAAATGTGTTGTAACTGTGTTGTGAAAGTCAAGGATGGAAGTAAAATTTCAAAAAGTGGGTCATGTAACTTTTTAGTGCAGGGAGGGAAGATTTGCAACGACTTTACTACTGCTCACATTTTAAGTTGCTTGAAGGCTAGGTTTTGAGGTGTGCCTGCCTGCATGCACATTTACTCCTGGGGCAGGCAGCCAGATCTCTTAATTTTGATGAACTGACAATAAAGATTTGTAAAGATAGATTGAAAAAAGAAAAAACGCATAAATACCTTCCATGTTGCACCACTGGTCATGATAATCAAAAAGTTTTAAGTAACTCCTAGAGACCATGTTTTTAGATAAAACATTTATTTTGTTGTTGTTAGTTCAACTATCTCTATTGTAAGAACTTTTCATTATTTTATCTTGTGCATCTAACTTGTATCCTCTGCTACCTGCCAGTGCATCATCTTCTCTTAGCATCTTTTGGTTCTTCTTTTGAAAAACTCACGTCAGGATGCTTTTGTGTTTTCCCCTTTTCAAAATTTATATATTTTTCCTTGTCAAGTGTAGGTTAGTTATGTCATTTTGTAGTGCAATTGATTAAAGAAGGCAGATTTTAAAAGATAATTCTCTAGTCAGTCAGAGGGCTGCATATTGCGAGTGATGACTTTTTATTTCTCTTCTAAGGACATGATAACTCACCTAAGTCTGTTTTATAAATCAGGTAAAGAAGTATAAATGAAAACATGAAAGAAAAATCAGAAAAGAGAAATGTAATGTTTGCAACAGAAAGAGCAACAAAATTACATTTCCCCCTTTTTCTCTCTCCCCACTTCTAAATGACTGGGAGAAAAACATGAGAAAGAACAGAGAGAATGCCAAAGATGGTTGCCACTGGCACCAGGATTGGCATCAGACCCTCTTTGTTTAGCTCAGGATGCCTGTGATTTGTTAGTTGGCATCCGCATTGCAGTGTGGAGTGATGTTACAATATATTGACAATTTCCAGATCTAGAAATGTCAATAGTCCTCTTGGTTATTTATACAAGATCACATACTGCATCTCTTCTGGAAGATGAAATAAAGACCATCATGTACTAAAGTTTCATTGTTGACCAACTTCCTATGCTTTTCTTTTTCCCTCTTTCTTTTTTGGTTCAACCCACACTTTTTTTCCTTCTTCATGCCCAGCAGCCTCATCTTTCTGAAATGTAGGAAGAGTTACTAGAGCTTTGACACAAGCTATAGTGCTACATCTGCATCTGATATGGTTTGGGGAAACATTTATGCTTTTTGAAATCATTTTTGATACGTAGTTCATTAGACTTTTGCATTATATGGCCATGAGGCAGTATTTTCTTTAAAGCTTAATCTCTTTGTTATTTGGCTACTATGCATATAGTCTGGTTGACCGCAATTCAGTCCATTTTGCTATTTCCTTACATTAGCAAAGGCTGATGTTCATTATAGTTGTTTATAAAATTCAATGTCCCCCTGCACTTCACCTAAAATGTACACATCATTTGGGAGTAACTGCGTTTAAATCCATAAAATCATTTGATGTTATTGATTCAGGGGCTGCGCTTCGGCTGTTTCGTTGCTACAAGAACCGCCATTTTGTTTGTGAAGTGCCAGGCGAGGGGGAAAAAAAAGGCAGACACTGTGTTTGATGCCAATAATGGTTGCCAGTGGCACCGAGGTTGGCATCAGACCCTCTTTGTCTAGTTGCTGAATGCCTTTGATTCGTTGGTTGGCATCCGCATTGCAGTGGGCACACTGGAAAGTTTTTGACAATCCCTGAATGAAAGCTGCTTGCTTGTTTGCTGCAGCAAATCTTAGCTAATATAAAACTCTTCCTTTTTTTAGGTTTTGTCTAAAAAAATTGTGACAGATTAAAGAAAAAATAGCTCTAAATGGTATCTATTTTCCCAAAGATATTAAAGATGTCCAATGATTCTTGGGCAGGTGGTACCTATTCCCCATATTGTCTTTGTTATTGCATTCATGAAAGCAAAGCAAAAACAAAAGCAAACAAAAACCAGGCAAGCCTTGCACAACACACCTTCCTGGGATATAAGTGTCCTATAGGATGCAGGGTGTGCTATGACAAGTGTGTGGAGGACAAACCTAACGTAATGATATGTAATGCATTCATTATGACTGACTGTTGCTCTCAGTCACATCTCTGCTTATTTGTTATGCAATTTCTAGTTCCCTCACTTTACACTCTTGCAAATTTTATAGTAACATTTTGAGAGGACTTCATTTTTCCTCTCTAGTTAGAAATGCGTAACAGAATACATGTTTAAAAAAAGAGAGAGAGAGAGAGAAAACTTTAAAGAGGAGACCTATGCCTTCAGGTCTGATATAAAATCAGTTATTCTGGAATTTCTCAATCCTGCATCACAATGTTACGAAATTTTCAGTGCACAATTTTGTACACTGGGAAAATCAACCAGAAGGCTAGAATAATTTTGGTTAAAGTTTCCTAGATAGTTAGCATTAATATTGTTTTTCAGTTAGGCACCATTATCTCGTTAATTAATAAGAAGGATTAGCAGTTCTACCCAAAGGGCTGCACAGAAGGAAGTCTGGCCTATGGGAGGCCTTGAGTTGCCAGACTGTGTCCTGTCTGAAGGGGAAAAAAGGAAGGGGGTGGTGATGGTGGGAGTAGGGGGGCGGGAGTGGGATTGGCCTTTCTCTGGGGCAGGAAAGCATTTTGAAGAGAGAGGTCACAACACCCCAAGACATTTAAAGGTCTCGAGAGATAGTGACTGTTGTCATGCATATAACAGATTAGAGTTTACAATGAGTCAGCCTAACTGATTTTTGGACTGTACTTTGCACTCTTATTAAACATGTTTTGGAGTGTTAAAGAGAGCCCAGAAACCTCATTGCTATCCTGAAAAAGTAGTTTCCTTTAGCCTTGTTGAACCCTTAAAATTATGATCTGTTGTTGGATGGCCACTTTTGTTGCTTTATTGTTAAATGTTATAATAATTGAAGTACATTTTGAAGTTGTGAAAAATGTGAGTTGTTTACAGGGGAGGTCGTAATCGTTATTATTGTATTTGAAATAGAAGCCTGCCTGGTTGTCACATATCATTAGTGAGGAAGCAAATACTAAGAATTATTTTCTTCCTACAGTTACTGAATTTCAGAATCCTTCTGGGTAACAATTATTTCTTTATGAAAAGCTTAAGTAGATAATTGTTTGCAAGTTGGCAGTGCATTTTAACATTTTAACAGATTTCCCTTCATTTGCAGGTATTTCACATTATGGGAAAAAATAAGCTTTCATAATTGATTAAAATGAGGCTGGTCTCTAGGATGATTTGGTGTGTCTGCATTGTGAAATGCTCTGGGAGCATAAAAGTTTGTGTGTAGGAGAAATACTTGGTATGCATGTTTGATTTAGGGGAGCACTGTTAATTTT